AAGTAACTCTTTAGGAAAAAACTTCTGTGTGCCCATTTCTTTTGCCATTACATGTGATGGCTTTTTTTCTCATCCTTGCTTATTTAACAGACTTATTACTTGATCAATGACATAAATGCAAGAAAACAGCCGTTTTCAAAGTAACAGATGAAACACTGGGAGGGCATCAATCAGCCAAGTGTTTGGGCTGCTGGGGAAAGCCTCCCACGGGAAGATATAGCCCTGGCAAGGCACACCTGAGTGTCTGAGCTCATCTGGTTTGGAAAGACAAGTCCTACCTTGAAATACCTCCCTCCTTCATACCTTTTTTGGGCCAGTCCAGCAGAAAGTAACCTAACTACAAGATTAGGGAAGGTGGCACCGGTCAATTTTACACTTCAGTAGGATTTAGCACCAAATCTTCTGTTAATAATCATTTTAGAGAGCGCTGATACACTGCGGGGATTGCAACCAATGTCACAAAACAATGTGTGTATAAAGTTCTGGATGAGAAACTAATTTGCACTGTAAACTTTCACCTAAAGCACAGTAAAAGAAAAAGCCATTTTAAAACATTAAATGCATTACTATGCATTCCCAAGCACAGAAAAAAGATCTGAGAGTTTAAGGGTGTCAGCGACCACTTAATAGAATATGGAGCACACAGGTATAACGACCCCACAGCAGATCCTGGATTCTGCTTACAATAAAGCCATACCAAAAATTCTGCCACCAGTTTATTCCTTCCTCTTTTCGTCTTTCTGAAAATTCAACTATAGGCCAAAATTCCAATAAAGGTTTAGGATATTCAGGTTACAGTAACTAAAAGGAATCCCAACATTAAAACACAAACACACACTCAATTTGGAAGATACGAATTCCTCTTTTTGATTTAGATTTTGAAAGAAGTACTAACACACACAGATGAGACTTAATTTTCAAGTACTAAACTACTATCTTTAACTGTACCAAAAAAAAAACCCCAAATCCGTTGCTGTCGAGTTGACGCTGATTCATAACTGTACAACTACCCTTAATTTACAATTCTCTGGAGTCACAGGGGAAAAGGAAAAAAAAAAAAAGAAGAACGAAGAGAAAAACCTCAACAGACATTCGGGGTGATTTCTTCAAATTAAAAGTCAAGTGCACCAGCTTCATTTCACATGAGTGTGTGGAAGAGACAGAAAATGGCTGCTAGTACCTACAATATTGTGACCCCCTTCCGCTCCCACCGCTGACGAGTCCTGAGGTCAGCCTTTAATTCTGTCATGTTCCGTAAAATGCTACCGTTATCTATTTCACAACACCTACTGTTCAACTTTCAGGAAACATGTAACTTTAGTGATGAAGTGCTAAGAGTTTGAAAATATAAGCAAGAGAATTATTGGAATGTAGACTCCTCACTAAGGGAAATCAGGTGTCAGCCATGAATGAGGTATATAGTTACAGGTCTGAAATCTAATACTCTAGGTATTTGGGAAGAGAAGTCAAGGTACCTGGCCTCGTTTGCCATATTAGGCTTATTCTCTTGGCCAGAGGCACAGGAGTGATTAGAGGGCTGGTGATTAGAAGCATGACAGCTGCATTCTTTCGAGTTACAAGGGTTGCAAAAGCAGCTGCAATCACTCAGCCATCAGCGGCCTGTGTGGCTTGTCAGCGGACACCGGGTCCCATCAGTTTCCTTGAATGTATGGGAGAGATTACGCAGGACTTACAAGATATTTGGACTGAGACACAGTCATCTACAAGCCGGTCTTCTTGACTCACTGCTCTAAAAAGGCTGAGACTTAAGCCCCTTTCTCAGAAAAACAGGGGTACCCACGGATATCATCCTTTGTGGTGGGCAAAGGAAACACCGCAGTGCCTATGGTATGACACCTAAACAAATCAGACACCGCATTGAAAACTCAGGGCAAAGCGAGCTTATTGCCATCGGAAAAGGATGTAGCTCCTTTTCTAATTTTTTATTCAATAAATTTTACTTAACATTTTTATTTAATAATTTTAATAAATCTTCTATTAAAATTATCTGAAGTCCAATAAGTCTTCATATCACACAGGTATTGATTCAAGCGGTTAGCAAACCCCTCCAGGAAGGAGTAGGCCCCTAAGGTATGGGGTCAACTTTCTTTGTTGAGTAAAACTTATCAATACATACGTCAAGTGAGAGAAACCTTTCATTTAATAGCTGCTAGCACGTTCCTACTTTTAAATGTATACAACATATTGAGAACTAACTGTTAAGTTCCCACGCACCTCTATTTGAAAACCCTACGGATCACAAGAATCTGATCCACAACCGATCACGGGGTGTGGGGTGGTGCTGGGGTGGGGGGTGGTACTGGACTGGGTAGCGTTTTGTTTCCTTGCACAGCATCTTACAGAAGGCCAGCACCTGGAAGCCTTGCTGCTGGATAATGAAATGTGCTAGCAAGCACGGGGAGAATGTCTCCCTGCTTTCAGATTCTGGCTGAAAAAGCAGAAACTGCTTTGGAGTTAAACACTTTTCACACCTACATTCAGGCTTAACAAGTTGACAACTCCTGCAGTATTCTCGAACAAGGCAGATGATCTAGGTTGGTTACTACCAGTTAATTAGCTTCATAGTCTAAAAATGTAATTTTCCATGGCACCTGACTCTTATCTTTTAACAACAACATCTAACATCTGGTTAGAAATTGGATTCCCTTTCCATGATTAAAATCAAGTGGATTTCGGGCAGCTGGCAGGCCACACAGATCGACTTTGGAAAGTGATTCACTTACTAACATTGGAAATAGTTAAACTGAGTTCCTGGCACGATTACGTTTACTTTCTTCAAATGAGAGGTGAAGAAATCTACACTATGACGGGAAGGCTAATTTAAGGCGAACAGTGGACTTCTGCTAAAAGTGCTCTCCTCTTCCTCTTACGCAAAGGTAACTGTTTCAGTATAAGCAGTAGGGATAAGGAATACCTATTTTGAGCTCAAATACTAATATAGCTTTCCTTCCTTCTAGGAAAGGAAAACAGAAGGAGCTAAAATCCTAAGTTAGTACAGTGAAGAAGTTACAGTTGGCCCTGGCCATGGTGAGCACTCAGGCTATGAATATTTTTCTTACTTAAGGTTGCGTAAAACGAGGCTGCTCTTCTTGCTAGACACTGCCATTCATTATGGCTTGGAAATTCCTGCTCACCATTTTAGAACTCTAATGCCTTGGCATAGAGTGGGGTTTTCTCAACTGTGGCACTATGGACATTTTGGGCCAGGTAATTATTTGTTGTGGGGGCTACCCTGTGCATTGCAGGATTAGCATCCCTATGCTAGCATTCCTAGCTTCTTCCCACTAGCTGCCAGTAGCACCCCCCTCAACTGTGACAACCAAAAATGTCTCTAAAAACCCCTCGCCGTCGAGTTGATTCTGACTCATAGTGATCCTACCAGACAGAGTAGAACTGCCCAATAGGGTTTCCAAAGCTGTAATCTTTATCAAGCAGACTGCCTCATCTTTCTCCGGAGCAGGTGGTGGGTTCGAACCGCTGACCTTTCAGTTAGCAGCAGAGTGCTTAACCACTGTGCCACCAGCCAAACGTCCCAGGAGTTGAGAACTACTGACAGAGTGCAATCTAGCCAAACAAGGAAACACAGCTGATACTTTAAACTTCCTTATTTTTTTCAATGATGTTTTAAATAGCTGCAAATTCCAAATCCTCAAATAACAGAATTAAATTTCTACGAACAGCAACAAAAGCAACGTTTTACGTACAATTAAACATTTTTATAACTTCCAACCTTTTAACCTCAACAATCTAACAAACTTTTATATTTAGTTTTTTAATTTAAAGAGTTTGAGATTTTGATTTTTAACGTTATAACTAGTTAATGAGAATGAATCCTCAGATCTGAACCCAGGGCTGAGCCTTACATCAGCTGAGGAAGGCTGTGTCTGCAAATTCTGAAAGACCTATCATTGCAAATCCCAGATGTGATGTTGGCGAGGGAAAGGGGGAAAAGCAGCCCCTGGTGCTGAGTGTCTGCTGCAGAGCTCAGGTGTCTGCTCAGCCCCATGGTCGGTGCCTGGGCTGCTGTCAAGATCTGACGGTGAGGCACTGCAGGGAGGGATTCCTAATGCATGTCGTTCTCTTGTCCACGGGAGGACTCTGCTTTATTCAAAAGATCCACCAACAGTAATTGAAAAATGAACTACTTTTGCATATTAATTATCTTTTTTGTTGTTGTTAAAAAAAAAATGGGCCTATTATGTATTATTTCGGTACGGAAGCATACCTACTGATTCACTGGATCAAAATTCTCCAGAGGATGCGAGGCCCTAAGTGACAGATAGAACCTTTCTATACGTGCAGGTAGCTAAAGATACACATGATCATGGAAGAGGGATGCTGACTTTGTTGACTTTCCACTCTTCAACCCTGCAGATGCCACTCAATCTCATGCGCAGTTTTAGAGACGTTGGAAGACAAAGATTATTCACATAAACTTTCTACTTTCTCTTCAGCACTGCCTGAGGGCACAAGAGCCAAATTACCAGATTTCTCTTCAAGTTTCCAGGTAGACAATGGGCATCCTTACGTGTCTATGGAGTGTACTCCAACATAAGTACAGCTCTGGAGCTCGGTCCTCCCATTAGAATGGCTGGGAAACACTCCTGTGCTTAAGTTCACGTGGGTGTAACGTAGAGGCTATGTTTCTGATTAGTCTAACAGTCTTCTGACTTCTTGAGTAATCATGGTACACTTGCCACGCTCTAAATTAGAGATGGGGAAGGCCATTTTTAAAGGCAAGCCTGCAAAACTCCCTGTCCTAGTTTAGGTAAATTGTAAGCATCGATAGAAAAAATACGTGCCTGCGCACACAAACACCAATGCTACTTCCAAAAAAGAGCACAATTTACAAATGTCTGCTACCTCTCATTATATTACTGTTTTCCAGGCACGAGGCACCTTAACAATTATGTCCCTTAGAAGAACAGCCCCTAGAAGTTACTAACAGCTTATCAGAGACGAAGATGACAGATACATACCATCAAAACTACCTTTCTCGGAAGCAAACTGCAAGAGCTGATTGTATGTCTCAGCTGAGGGTTGATAAACGAAGACACCGGAATTGAAGCAGTCAGGCCACCCTGGGTCTGGTGCTGCTGAAAATTCTTCTCGCTCAAAAAGGTCATCAATATTTGCTAGGACCTGATTTGAAGGGGGAAAAGGTGTTAGAAATGTTCTGTTGCGACATAACTTCCTTCAGTCTTCCTAAGTTACCCAACACAAAAGATGCAGTTGTTGGTGGTGGTGATAACTATTCAGATGACAGCTGTAAGGCTGCCTGCGTCTGGTCCCCTCCATCAACTGGCTCTTTTTACAACAGTGGTTTTATCTGAAACTGTTCTGTCAAGTGTTTACAGCCATCTCACAGATGCCTGACAGGTCTCAGTTACTATATACGTCTTCTCAGCCCTCCAAGCTACGCTCACCAGAGTATCTGCATCCATGAACACACATTTGGAATACTGGGTAAGTGACCAGCAGTGCAGTTTCGTTAATGTGACACCCAATTCTGGCCTCTTCATTAAGGTGAGATGAGCAGAATCCCCGCTGTCCAGGACATCTACCATGATGACCTCATCAAAGACTGTCTCCAAAACTTTTCTGTCAAAATAAAATCCAGAAAGCAGTGCTTAGCATCTTTGCAGAACGAGTGACCCATCTAACATTAAGACTGATGTCTCCAAACCCTATCTAGTAATTATTAGAACAAGTTATCTGGCACAGTGCGTTTTTCCTCATTTATTTCAGGAAATATTGTGTTTATTTGCATATGCAATTTATTTCACTAAAGTAATGAAAACTGCTTATGGTAAGAGTGAAGCTGTTGTCTTAAAAACACTGTTATACAAGTTTTCTATTTTCTGTTGTGCCATTGAATACCAAGCCGAGTGTGAAAACAGCTTGCAAAAACATGACTGACATTTGCTAAGACAGTACATCTTGGCAACAGCCTATATATTACAAATGTTATTTTATTTGAATTGATTGTTGCTGACCGATGCATATTTTTACAAATGATGCTGACTAAAGTGCATATAATATCTGCAATAAAGTCTATTACCTAATCATTTTTTCTAAAGCAGTTGACAGGAAAAAATGCCTAAGATGGGTGAGTCCCAAAAGAAGTTAAAGGGCTCAGTTATTCAGCTGCCATTATCTTCAATCCAATATAATCAGGATTTATTGTGCGGTTAGCACCCGGCTTAGGCATAATGAGAGACACGCATTTTGGTCTGTGAGGTACAACGCTTCTCCATGCCCCAAATTAACTACAAGCTGTATTTTCGAAAGCTCTTGAGATGGGTTAGTGGGGTGGACTTAGGTAAGACACTGAACTCAGTGTGAAGGAAAAAAAAAAAGTATGCTAGACAGATCATCACTGAAAGTTTAAAACAGTATCAGACATGCAGAACAAAGCTAGTATTGTGTGTCTCCAGAGCTGTACGAAACTATGTTCTAGTTCAGAGTATATGAACTTGATCTTTTTGACAAAATGGTCAGCAGCACCCTTTACACAGTAAATCAGGGTGGAAAACTGAAGACTAGATCAGGCTGCTCACACACATCCTCACCAACAGACTACAAATTAGGAGGGATGCATTAGGAGGCAGACTTTTAGGCATCTTCCTAAATTACCCCTTAGGAACAAGGTTGTTAGTGTGAGAGATAAATGCAGGTTTTCATATAATGCTCCTTTTCAGGGGCCCTCGGCATGTGCTTACATTTCTGAAAAAGGTCACAAAAAGGGCGTTTTCCACTTCCAAGAAGGCTAGGAGAACGCAAAAATAAACACAATACAGAGCTGCTAAGAGTGCATAGATAGTTTTAAAGTTAGTATGAGGAACCAGTTCATTCAGATCCTTCAACACTGAATTCCAGCAAATCAAAGTGCACTAACCCTATGGAGAAGCAGCTTGTGTCCCTGGTTGGCGTGGGGAAAGACCACCTAGCACAACCACGGGATTCCAGTCTATTGTACTCAGAATAAAGCCCTAAAGACCGTTGGGTTACAAATGTCATCTGGCAGTGGAGTTCACTGCTACTTTTCTTTTAAAGTCACCTGAAGGGTCTTCCCTGGTTGGAAAGAGGAAACAAAGTAGCCACTGCTGCATCTGGGCTGCCTTTATACTTGAGGACGACAAGTGTGACTACATAAAACTGCACTGAACCAGGGAACACTTGGCCTGAAACACTCACTCCGACTGCCCAGAGAGGACATGCCTAGGGAGAGCCCTTCTTCCACTCGTAGCTAGAATCAGGAAGAGTGTGCGCCAGATCATCACCTCTCAGAAGGGAGCTACAAATCTTGGGTAGAATGTCTTCCCAAAAGCTAGGAAGAGGTTTCAGACCTGGGAACCCTTCATTCAGCAACTTGTCTCTCTCCACTTGGTACTCAATCCTTGAAAAGCATACGGCCTCAATGCAGGTGGATGCTGGGAACAGAGGCTAGAAGCCAGAGACCTGCAAACGGACAGGCAGTGAGGGCCTCACCTCATGGAGTCCGAGACCTGCGGGGTGGTGAGCACTGCCAGCCTCCTGGTGGTCCTGTGCTGCTTCAGGGATGAGCCCAGGACCAGGGCGCCTTTGGCATAGGCATCGTTTGTGGTCAGCGTCACAAAGGCCTGATCTTAATACAAAGAAGAAACCACACTCATTACAATATCCTACCACCTGGGAAGGTGTCCCTGCATGGTACAATTAATGGTACAAAAGAGGTACCTTGGAAGAAAGGCCGGGCAATCTACTGCTGAAAGACGAGCCATTGAAAACCCTATGGAGCACAGTTCTACTCCGATACCCATGGGGTCCCCATGAGTCAGAATCTACTCAATAGCAACTGGTACCACTCGGAAAAACCAACCCAGGACCCTTTTCAAAAAGTTGTTGTTAGCTGCTGTTTAGTTGATGTCGACTCATAGTACTCCCATGTGACAGAGTAGAACTGCCCCACAGGCTTTTCTAGGCTGTGATCTTTACAGAAGATGACTGCCAGGTCTTCCTCCCGTGGAGCTGCTGGGTGGGTTCAAACCACCAACCTTTCAGTTACCAGCCAAGCACTTAACCATTATACCACCGCAGCTCCTTTTTCAAAAGGTCATGAAGTTTCATCATCATCAGTTCCACTGAGATGAACTTGTTCTATTAATAAAGTAGCAGTCCCTTTTGGGGGAAACACCCAAGTATCCACCTCCAGAGCAGTCAAGACTAATGGTGTATGTAGTCTTTAGCAGGGATATCTGTGGCAACCTCCAAGAGGCAGAATGAGCTATAAAAATTAAATCCAATTTAGAGACTGGACACGCTAAATTCTGAGACTAAATAGTAGCTTAACACCTAGAGCGTGACCTTCGGGCAATTAACAGGTGGTGCAGTGGTTAAGCGCACAGCTGCTAACCGAAAGGTCAGCAGTTCGAATCCACCAGCCACTCCTTGGAAACCTTATGGGGCAGTTCTACTTTGTCCTATTGGGTTGTTATGAGTCAGAATCAACTCGACAGCAATGGGTTTAGTTGTTTTCTTTTTTTTTTTTTTGGAATGAAGAGATGAAGCAGTGCATTTTCTGTTTCTCCTACACCGTGCTGTGGACAGTATTTTTATACAAGCACAAATCCAGCTGTGGACCTGAATTGGGACAGTCTGACAGTAGAGGCCACAGTTTTCCTTCTGGTGCTTACATTTCTGGCAACCTTCAGGCTTTTATACTGTTTCCTCAACCTGCAGCAAAAGCTCTCCCTGCCCCAGCCCCACCACCCTCAAGGACCACTTTAAGTCTCTGCTCAAATATCTCCTCCTTAGAGAGCTCTTTCCTTTTTGATGCTTCTAAATAGTGACCAATTGCTATTAAATGGATTTAGGACCGCTTCACAAGCTCTAACAGACCTGACTTCTGTTCCCTGGAGAAGCAAGCAGTACCCCGCAACTTCCTCCTCGAACTTCTCTCCCCAATACTCACACACCAAAACTCAATCCTGGTAATCACTTAGCTGCCAGAGCAGAAGGCAGGGGCAGGGATTATTCCCCCTACTGAGCAGGCCTCACTCTCCCGAGACCACCAGCCTAGCCTTTGGGATTTCTCCTGCCCTTCCCTGGGACGATTCTGGGGCATGCCCTGTGTCTGAGGGGATCTTGACAGCAGCAACTTGGTGGGCATCCAAATGTGCAGGACACTTAGGATCAGGCTGTAGCAGGTGGCACTTGGGGCAGTGTTGCCCAACCGGGGAGTTGGGACATTGTGTCATGAAGTCACTCGCCTTCTGTCTTGGGTTTCTTCATTCTGCCTTTGCCCATTTTCCAACCTAGAGGAAAGAGGTACTGGAAATTTTGTGGCGAGCAGTGAGAGAAGCTGTAGTTTGTGGAGCTGACTGGTATCTTCCAGCCTCTGACCTGAGAGGCTCGTCATACATAATGGTGACCTTTCTTCCAGGGCAAGCCGACTACTACGTTGTAGAAAGACTAGCATTCCTCGCCCCTGGCGGGCCCCTGACTTCCCAGAGCATCACACCTAGGTGAGCTCAGGCCACGGACACCTGTCACCTGACACACCCATCAGCCTCTGCCTGCACTTGCCTCTGTCAGCAAGTTCCTTCAACCAGTCGTAAAACAGCAACACTGCAAGGCTGGCCCCAAGGATACTTAATAACCTGGGGCCTGATGAATGAGGTTTTAACTCAACTGTGGTTCAGACTACAGAGAATCATAGAGGCACGTTTAACAAGGTAGGATTCAAGTTATTTTAAGAAGAGAAGCAAGAATATGGACTTTTTGTCCCTCTGAGACGAAGCAGGGGACAGGACAAATGCTCAGTAATGCTTAGGAACTGAGTGAGGCTCGCAAACACCACAAACAGGAAAGACCAATGACAGCTGGGGAGAACTTCAAGCTTCCTGGAGACGCTGCACTCCGGACGACACCTGCAGTTTTTCTGGCTGTTGAGTTACTTCAAGAATCTCCGCGACTGGCCTCAGTACACGGGAAGGACCAGTTACCTCGGAGCCTCCCCGTCCTAGGGGCTGATTCGCCCTGCGGCCCGGGCACCTCGGAACAAGTGGGGCTGGGGCCCGCTCCCCGGGGGCGCTCGCCGGCTCCTGGCTTCCCACAACCGGGCCCCAAAGGCCTAAAAATAGGCGCGGCGCTGCGGCCAGGGCCGGGGCGGGCGGCCGAGCAGCCGGGCTGGGC